GCAGAGACACAGGCAGAGGGAGAAGCAGGCTCCATGCAGGGAGCCCGATGTGGGACTTGATCCGGGGACTCCAGGATAATGCCCTGGGCCAAAGGCAGGCACCAAACCGCTGAGCCACTCAGGGATCCCTTCCTTCTGCTTTAGAGAAGGCAAAAAGCTCCCAGTTCTTCTCTTTGAAATGCCACTAATAATGATAATAATTAGTGCCTGTGGCTATTGACTGAGTGCTGAAGAAGTACCAGGCATTTTACATGCATTATCTCATTTACTCACTCAGGAGGTAAGTAAAAATACTCTCTTTCTTTTCAAGGGGAGACAGACCAAGAGAGCATAAGTAGACTGTCCAAGATCACACGACTAGCTAGTCGTGGACCCTACGTTCAGACCAGGTCTACAAATACTGGGCAGGGCCCCTAGGAGAGTGGCAACGAGTGGGTGTAGGCATGCTGAGGAGACAAAGGAGCCTCAGGATGCCCCTGAGACCTTTCATCCACCATTCTTACCAAGCCCTGTTCCCCATACTTGACCCCTCGAGATTCTAGGAGGGTGTCTTAGTCTCAGGGTGAATGTGAGGTGTAAAGGTTTGCCTGGGGCGCCTGGGTGGCAACCCTTAAGCAACCTACTCTTGGTTTTAGTTCAGGGTCATGAAACTGAGCCCCACATTGGGCTCTGTGCTCAGCTTGGAGTCAGCTTGGGACTCTCTCGCTCTCTCTCCCCTTCAGCCCCTCCTTTCTGCTTGCTCACTCTCTCCCCCTCTAAAATAAATAAATAGATCTTTTTCTTTTTAAAGGTTGCCTGAGTGATTTAGGCTCACAAACCCTTGCTCTGGCTGAGAACCACTGCACGCTACCCTGATGCCTCTTCTATAGACTCCACAAGACATCCTGGCTTCTCCCCTTGCCCACGTTCCCCAATTCAGGACCAAAGGTGATTCCAGCCCAGGGGACCTTCCCCTGGTACCACCTCTACTTCTCCTCCTCCTCCTCCTTTTTAAAAAAAGGTTTTATTTATTTATTCATGAGAGACACACACAGAGAGAGGCAGAAACATAGGCAGAGGGAGAAGCAGGCTCCTTGCCAGGAGTCTGATGTGGAACTCGATCCCAAGATCCCAGGATCACGACCTGACAGGAAGGCAGATGCTCACCCACTGAGCCCCCCAGGCGCCCTCCACCTCCACTTCCAGCCTGGCTCTTTGACCCATCCCTTGTTTTCAGCAAACATGCAGGGTACGTCTGTTGGTGTGCTGGCACAGCCCTGGGTTGTGGAGGTGGAGGACAGAGCAGAAGGTGAACAAGACACAGAACCCATTGTCCACAAGCCATGAGTTCATATCTAAAGCTGGGCCTATACTTATTTCTTCGTATGGTGTCCATTCAGAGAAACAGCCCCCTATCCAGAAGACAAGGATATGTTTGCCTATTGCCCTTTTCTTCGCTGGCACCAGGGCATGCAGAAGGGTGGCAGCTGCAGGGAAGGGGCTCCAGGAGATGACACCCAACATCCAGAGAAACTTCTTGAAGTTTTCTTTAAAAAAAAAATATTTTATTGGGCAGCCAGGGTGGCTCAGCGGTTTAGTGCCGCCTTCGGCCCAGGTCATGGTCCTGGAGATCTTGGGCTCAAGTCTCACGTCGGGCTCCCTGCATGGAGCCTGCTTCTCCCTCTGCCTCTCTCTCTCTCTCTCTCTCTCTCTCTCTCTCTCTCTCTGTATCTCTCATGAATAAATAAATGAAATTTAAAAAATATTTTATTTATTTGACACAGAGTGAACGAGTATGAGCGACAGGGGGTGGTAGGGGCTGAGGGAGGAGAAGCAGACTCCCTGATGAGCAGGGAGCCAGATGTGGGGCTCAATCCCAGGACCCTGGTATCACAACTGGAGCCAAAGACCAGACACTTACTCTACTGAACCACCCAGGTGCCCCTCTTGAAGTTTTCTTTAACTCTACCTATCTTCCACACCAGCTGACTGCTGCCAGACTGTCCAGTCCCATTTCAAACCTTCCAAACTTCTCCCAAGCTCAGCTGTGACCTGCCCACACATACATTTACCTCTCAGTATAAAGCTAGCTAGCCTCTCCTATTCTCCACCTATCTCATCACCCCCTGGATTTACAGAATAAAGGCCCAGAAATAAAACCAAGTTTTCAGAAGTGGGCAGGGAAAGCCAGGCCATGATACTACATGGGATAAGACCAGAGGCCCAGGATGTGAAGAAGGGCACCTGAGCTGAGCTCTTTAAATGTAAACTTTCAGGGCACCTGGGGACTCTGCCTTTGGCTCAGGTCATGATCTCAGTGTCCTGGAATCAAGTCCCACATTCAGCTCCCTGCTCAGTAGAGAGCCTGCCTCTCCTTCTCCCTCTGCTGCTCCCCTTGCTTTTGCTCTCTTGCTCTGTCAGACAAATAAAATCTTCTTTTAAAAAATAAACGCAGACTTTCTGTTGGGGGAGAATTCAGCAGGGGGCAGTGGGTGGTTCAGTACAACCTCTGGCCCCTGAGCAAAGCCCGCTGACCCTATGTGGGGAGCATCTTCCACCAAAGGGCAGCTCTGGGGCTCTGACACCAGGAGGAAGCGGTCCACACCCCACCTTTGGGAGATCTGGAGTTACAGTCATGTCACATAGTTCACACTCTTACTTCAACCACCAAAAAAACTCCTATCCCTTGAGAAAATTCTGAAGACGCCTGACATTTAGTAGTTAAGAGCTCCTACCACCATACAATCAAGTCATTGTGTGTGTAAAAGGGGAACTCCAGGTTCAAGGCTAGCTGACTGGGAAAGGGGCTGATGTCACCTTTCCTCAACCACCACCTTGGCACAGGTACTGACCGTGCCAGCCCTGGGGGCAGGGAGAGCGCTGAGCGGGACACAGGCTCCGTCCCTCCCAGACCAGAGGTCACAATGGGCATGACAGGCAAGCAGGCAGATGTGTGGACAAGTAACAGAAGGAGCATTTGTTTGGCCACAAGCAGCTGGTGGAAATTCCAGTGCTGACCCCAGAGTGAACCCTTGAGGGACAAGTTTCCAGATGAAAAGAGTGACAGGTAAGGGTCCTCCAGTGTTAGGGAGGGTGGAGTGGCAAGAGAAGGGATGCCATCATCTGGGTACACAGCATGTATCATGACCGGAGTGCAGCCTGTGTAGCAAGGGAAGGAGAAACAGCCTTGGACGGCAAGTGGAGGATTTAAAATTTTCTTCTCCAGGATGAGTCATCCATGATTTTCGACTAGGGCAGTGACCAGAGCATGTTTTTTCTTCCGAAGAACTTTTTAGAAGGACTGGAGAGGGGATCCAGAAAGCAGAAAGAGTAGCTGAGAAGTTGCTGGAATTGTCCAGGTGAGGAGAGGAATGTCTAAATTAGGACATGGCAACAGAGGCCAGATGCACGATGAAGTCGCATCTTAAATCAGTGCATCGTTGGAAATCTTGGAAGGGACTCCACTGAGAGGTCAGCCTAACTCCACTAATGCCTCTTCAGAGCCGGAGTCGATGCCTGTGCCTTTGGCTGAGCGCCAGAGGAATCAGAGGATTCTGATTCTCCAGAATCCACACCACACAAGCAGGCACTTGAGTCCTTATATACAAGATGCTCACACTACGAGAGGCTGGAGGGAACCAAGACAGACGGAAAAATCCCTTTTCTCAGCTCGCCCTCATCCTCATCCTTGGGGACACACATGCTAGAAGGATGGGGGGGGGGCGCTCTCTTGCACCAGCACCACCTGCTGCAAGCTTGCAATGAAATTCTGGTCAGGCAGGTGCACAGCCAGGCACCACTAAATGGCCAAGGAACACAGGGGGTGACAGCTGTGGTGTCAGGTGTAGGGGGTGAAGATGATGGCAGGTGCCCGTTTTATTTATTTGGGGCTGTTACCAAAAGATTGCCTCTCCTTCCCTGGGCTTTATCACTCAAGTCAGAGGCTCCAGCACCTACCTTTCCTAACAAACCTGACAAGTCATCACGACTATGAAGTCATCACGAACAACAATGCTGGTCTGAAATGGCGAAAACCTGCACCTCTACTTCGAAGAAATGCACACCAACACTCTTGCCTGCTGGTGTGAGCAGAGTCCTTTCCAATGACAACTGCGTGCAAATGGCGGCCATTAGGGCATCTGAATTGCTCGCTCTGAGTTAAGCATCTTCCCTTGTAGTGTTGTTTGCCCTTCATTGCTTGGCACACCTTTCCTTATCAAAACGGAGAAAACTTCAGTTAGGAGTTCTCGCTGTCATAGAAGGGCTATCAGAATTGATACACCATCTCATCCTCACTCAGACCAGTGGCTGGAGGATGAGCTGACTGGGGCAGGTGGGGATTCTCAGACTCCTCGGCCCCGGGAGGCACTTCTTACCAGTTCTGTCCTGTGAAAACGCAACTCCCCCCAACTGGGTTTTAGCTCACGCAGCATGCTTCCTGCTCTGAGGCTGCAGGGGATTTGTAGGAAATTCCCCCCAATGTGCCAACGTGGTACCATGGCCCCTGAAGTGGGGGACTTGGAGAGGGGTTAGGTGGCAAAGTGAAGAGGGGAGGTTCCAGTGGCTTGGAGTACACACGGTTGCCAATTGGAGAACTATTCTGTTCCCTTTCTCTCCAGAGGCACTGGGCTGGCAAGGCAGGAGGGGATGCAGGTTAAACTTACAGAAACCTCATCTGCCATCCTAGGGAAACACGGGGACTGACCGCTGGCTGGCGTGACATGTATACTCTCCCTAGCCACAGTCCCACACCACTGCTCACCAACCAAAAGGTCACACACTGGAATTCTCCTGAACCTGCTGGGGAAGGAGAAAGCAGCTTTGAGCAATGGCCTTGGCCTGGGGAACTTCCAACATCTCTAATTCTGACAAGACCAGTTCTGGATGTGTCCAGCTCTGTGGACAGCATGGAGATGGCCCAGTCACCAGGGGTGGGTCATGTGACTTTATAGGGCTGGTGGTGGTGCGAGGAGTAACAGGAGATGGAAGGATTGACAAACACGAACCCAAATCACATGAAGTAATTTCTAAACATTTTTATTTCAAATCTCTTTTCACCCTTCCCCAAAAAGACATGGGTCAGTACAGCAATCATAAAAAGGAGATACAAACACAAGAGTCAAATGTCTCCCGCACTGACACAAAAAACTGGGAGTTGTACATGGGGTTTCCAAACAGGACCTGCAGCAGCTACTAACGTCCCTTTATAAGAGTCAAACATGCCTATTAATACAGTATATACAAACACCCCGTTCTGGAACTAATCTACAGGGACATCCCAACACCCACCCGTCTATCCCCAGAAAAATACCAAAACACACCCAAAGTGCATTTGTTTTGTTTATATCAAAACATCTTTCCCTTTCCCCACCCACCCACAGACCCTCCCACCCCATTTAACATTGGCCTGCAAGTCTATTTTAACCATTTAGTAATTTTTTATAGTTTATGAAAATAAATTATACAGCAACTATTTTAATAAATTAAGCACAAAAAGGGGAAGGTGAGGAGGAAAACTAAACAGGAAGACAAAAGCCAGGCCACGCTTTGGCTTGGAGGAGGGCAGGGTGGCAAACAAGGACAGAAGTGGTTGCTGGGGGTGTGGCTCCCCTTCTGGTGAAGAACTGGCAACCACTCTGAGCCCAGAATGACACCCCTCTTCATTGAGTTTCTTAAAAACAACCAAAAAATGTACAGCAGTGGCTGTGCCACAGGCAGCACCAGTTTGGGCATTCCAATGGCCGGCCTGCCCACAGAGCGGTGCCTGGGTAATGCTTGTCCCTTGGAAAAGGTTCTGGGCCTAACAGTGGGAGGCAGGTCCCTGTTCAAGGGAGCACCAGGGATGGAGCAGCCAGCCTGCCCGCCCCATCTGATTTCCTGGGTTCTGATCAAGAGTGTCCTAAGTTTTCTTCACACTCTCTCTCCAGGAGCAAAGATTGCAGTCCAGCTGCAACCAGACACTCATGCCTTCCCCCCTGGGCTGGCTGCTTTTGACTGCCCAGTCATGCCTCTGGGCACTTCGGAAGGAGGGAAGGAGGGAGTAGTCCCAGGTACCCTCTAACGGAGATGAGATGAGCACGAAGGCAAGTCACAGACTCCACATGCAGGACCCGCTTCCCAGAGGTAGATGGGAGTGGGAGGGGACGGGGAAGGGGTGCAGAGGACAGGATGGGAAACAGGAGGACAGTGGGCCGGCACCTACCAGGAAGGTCGAGAAGCGATGAAAAGGACAAAGACAGTATGGAATCTGGATGTAGAGAAAGGTCTTTCCCTGGCAGATTAGAGAATCAATATTTTAAATACAATTCTTTACTCTGTTTTTCTACCTGTAGCACCTGAGTCCCCAGTGCTTTCATCGCTATGGTCCAAACCCCACCTCACTCCTCCCAAGGCTTTGCTCTCCCATCTTCTCAAGGCCTCCTGTCCTTTTGTGCTGAGCATGAAGGCTCCAAGGTCAAAACAGGATAAGTCATGGGGACTGGCAGACTCAACTTTGCCTTCTTGAGCTTTGAAGCCCACTAACCCTATAGCTATCATGAGTGGAGGGAGCCACGTTTCGCTTTTTTTTTTTTTTTTTTTTTAATAAAAAAGATTTTACTCCCCAGGAGCAAATAAATCATTTTGAACTACTGATAAACACTGCTGCAGTGAAAAGAAAGATGGCTACATGTATGCAATAGCACAAATTCAGTGTAAGAACAGCTGTGTTGACAATTAGAGATAAAAATCACTTATCCACCCCCCCGCCCCCCCCACAAACCAAACCAAGAGGATTCCCATAGGGAAAATGTCTAACTCAAAAGCTCCTCCCTTAGGGACAGGGGGCATGTCATTCTCTTAAAAGGGGAAAACAAATGGCAGGTCTCCCCACAGTGGAGATGCTTTCAACACTCCAACTGGTGGCAAGACTTCTGCAAATGTAGACACGCATGGACACCCAGACACACCCAGGCACGCGCGCGCGCGCGCACGCACGCACACACACACACACACACATAAACACACTTTCAGACTTCCCACTATATCCCAGTGCCTAGTCCTCCATTTTCAGGGCTCAAACCCAAGGGCGAGGCAGCAGGGCGGGGAACAGTCTAACCCAAGGGAAAAGTCTCTACTATCTCCATTTCCTGCTGGGACCCAAGGGCTTTAAGCAGCCTTGCTCTTCTGGGGGCCTAGGGTGAGGGCTGAAAAGATAGGTACCCCAGGGCACCCAGCTCTATTTCTAGGCTCTCACGCCCGGATGTGCAAACACTCAGCACATTTCCTGCTCCCCAGTTCTTCCTGGATGTGCCCTGTAGGGGTGCTTGCAGCCTCCTCTGCATCATTCCCAGCCTCAGTGAGGGCCAACACTATCACCAGGTGAAGGGAAGGAAAGGAGGAGTAGAAACCGTGATGATGAGCTCCCCTCTCAGAAGCCTTCATGTTACAGGGGGCAGCTCCCCTTCACTAGATCTAGGCACAGGCTAGCCACCTGGCCCAGGCCATCACCAATGGTCCCGAACTCCCAGTTACTGCCCACTTACCTAGTCCTCCTAGCAAAGCCCCACCCTCCTTACTCTGTGCTCCTGCCACAGCACCCGAATTTCAAGTAACAGCAGATTGTAGCAGTAGTTGTCACTTGGCTCACAGTGGCTCACACTTGTCCTGAGGAAGGTTACAGTAGATAAATCACTAACAAGTAAGGGTCACACAGGCAAGGACCCATTAACAACTTTGAAATCAGTGATGGGTCCCTAGAGGTGAGAACCTTTTCTAGTTTGTGACTTTAAAATACAACAACCAAAAAAGGAATAATGAGTTCCCTCTGTGGACTGCATTTCAATTAGCCCAACACAGAACTGGCAAAGGAGGAGTGGGCCCAGCCTGGAGAGATGAAGGGGATGTGCTGTTCTCTCTCTGCTCTCTGCCCCACTCCCACCTCTTCCTCCCCCTCATCTCCCAATGGAGCCTGTCTTCTTGTGAAACTCTGTCCTGCATCCCACTCTACTGAGGAAGAACTAGGCTACAGCCTGGGCCATGACTAGCATACAGACGAATCATGGACATGGGGACACATTACCCTTTCCCAGGAGGAGAAAGAAGGATGCTGGTGAGGTTGGGACATGCCTCCTCAGCTGGTTTGGTTCTGGATCTGACTGTAGAATTCTCCAGTGGAAAGCCTTGGTACCACTAGGGGTACAAGGGCTCTGCCTCCCTCCCCCAGACTGTGCTGAGGGCAGTGAGGTCCCTACCCATGGGCGGGAACCAGCTGACTTCTGGCTTTGGGTTCCACTTCACCATCACAAGACCTCAGCACTCAGACTTACTTGGTGACTAGAAAGTTTCCGTCTAAACCACAGCACTGAAGAGTAACTGACACTGCTGCTCTAATCTGGTGCTGTGTCCTGTTCAACACATCCCTCAGATTTCTGCTTCCATGCTTCTGTTCATGTGTTTCTCATCTCACTGTCCTACCTTTGCCTAGGACCCAAAGCCTCACAGACACAGAGCTCTCCCAGACCATCTGATCTACTCTGATCTTACCCATCTCAACTTCTTTAAAGAGAGCCCTTGATTTTTTGTACTGCACAGAGTCATTCTCCCATTGCTTCATGTATAGCAGTCACCCAAAAGCTCCCTTAAGCCAGACATCATGTCTTTCCCCTCTTGTGTTTTCCATAGTATCTAGCCCAGAATCAAGCAAACACATTAAAACACAGTTGAAAATAATTTCAAAATTATGGGTGGAAAAAAAAAAAGCCCCCAAACCCAAATAGCTGCACATGAGCCACTCAAGGATCCCTATGGATTGCAGACTGTAGGCTCTAGAGCTGGGTGGCACTTTCTGCATGATGGCAAGTTAATCTGCACTCTCAAGAGGCAAGACTCACAGGGTAAGCCAATTTCTGGGATCACTATTTTCACTAGTTGGTAATACTACCATGGAATCCAAGGAAAGAAGAGGTACTTCATGACAAATCAGAGGTGGGCTGTGTTTATGCTACAAAGCTCATTTTGTGGGCCACATCTTTACAGGCAGCTAATCATGCAAGTTTCTTCCCTGCTCTGCTACAAGCAGGAGGACTGGTCATTCCATGCAAGACATAAGGCAGAAGGCCAATGCTTCCAGATGAGGCAGTCTTTTAAATTACCAAGACACTGGGACCTCATCCCAAACCATCAGGAAACCACAAACCTGAAGATATTATTTATCTCATGAGAAGAGGCAGATATAAGCACAGGGGAACCAAGAGAGGCAGTCTAATGGAACATTTACTACAAAAGAGCAATAAAGACCCAAACAGCTCAATTTTCACATCTTAACAGCAAACCTCTCCCAAGAGTAACTCTGCAGAAAAGCAAACTCGTAATATTACATGACTTGACAATGGCTCACTTCAGAAAAACTCAAAGAGCACTGGAAAGCACCTCCCTCCTCCTCCACTTCCACCTGGAAGGTGGGCAACTCCCAAATCAGCATTTGAAAGACTTTCCAACAAACAGGGGGCAAATGGAATCTGACTCAGGAAAATGCATGAGTTGCTAGAGAAAAAACATAGGAAAATAAAAAAGCCCTTGCTACCTCCTGTCCCAGAAGTGGGACAACAGTGATAAACCTAAACACATGAGATGCAGTACTCTTCTCCTCACTGATCCAAAGACATTCCATTAAGGCTGAGACACAGGAGAGCTTCTCCTCAGAAGAGCACTATCACAATAGCTTCGTTTCTCACCATCCTCCATATTCCCTCTCACTAGCTGACAGACATATGGAGGTAAGTAACACTGACTCCTAAGTCATGGGTACAGTCTGCCATTAAGAATCTGGAAGCATGCTCCATTAACTTTAGCAGCTCATGATTAGGGCTCTCAACTGCTCAGGTGATGAAAAAATCGATTGCCTTGACAGTTGGCAGAAGCAATAGGAATGGTGTTACCATGATCAGAGTGAAATGTACAGTTATCTAAGGGGGCAGGGTGGAGGGTGGAAGAAGAATGGGACTGACTTGAGGTCACAGAATTCAGGAATTCAGGAAGACAAAACGAACACAGCTTCTATGAGAGGTGATTCTGAAATCAGGTTCCTAAACCTTAAAAGGAAAGGATGTGAGGAGTCACTACTTTCCCCAGCAGAGGCCCTTTGCCAGTCTTTGTTCAGCAATCTTCTTGTCCAGACTACTCACCCTCTCCTCTTTCCTGCTCCTACTGAAGCAACTCATGCTTAAAGAGAAGCAGATCCTTATCCCTTAGAAACTCCCAACTTGATATGTGCTTCTGACTCTTTCTCTTCCCTTCTTCAAGGTCAATGGTGAACACTTGCACTCTGCCTTTGGCACCAGCTGAATGACCGTCACTGGCAATCCCTCCCCTTCCCTCCCTCAGACCTGGCTCACCCTTGGCACCACTTCCAGTCCAATGGGCACAAACCCCAGCTGCCTTTAAAGGAAGTTTTCCATACTGAGAAATGCAAATATCCAAAACAAAACTTCTAAAAAAGAAACAGTGTTGAGACTTCTTCCAGTGTTCCAAGGAGCTTGTCCAGTTCCAGGATACCACAGGGGCTGGAGGTGAAGAGGTGAAGCCCCCGCTCAGAGAGTGTGGTTGTGTGCTTCTCCCAAGCCCCAGGGCTGCAGGGGAACCAAAGTCTTTGCGCGGAGGATCTCAGCCCTTCCAACTCCCTCCTTTCTCCTTGCTCCCTCTTCCACAGTAGCTTCATTTGGTTCTTCAAAACTGGAGCTTGGCAACAAATGCCTAGGTGCAAGAGGGAAAAATTAGAGCAGTTCAATGGAGTGGAACCAAATGGAGAACAGCCCAGTCTCTGGAGGTGGAAAAATACAGCTCAAAGGGAGAACTGGAATCTGGATAGCCAAGGCTCCCACAAATGCTGGTGCTGGCTCAGGATAAGGAATGGCATTTGCTGGGGACATGAGCAGCCCATGATGTGGACACCAAACAAAGGTCCTAAAATTACCAATATATTCTAGCATATTTCCTAACTTCTCTCTTTCCTTTTCCTTTGCCCCTTAATTTTCCACTCTTCCCCACTTCTTTCCTGAGGCTCATCTGCTCCAGGCACTTAAAAAAAAAAAAAGAAGGGCACCTGGGTGGCTCAGTCAGCTGAGTGACCGACTCTTGATTTTGGCTTGGGTCGTGGTCTGAGGCTCGTAAGACTGACCTCAGCGTGGAGTCTGCTTGATGTCCCCCGCCCTCCCCCCCCCACCAACACACACACTCCTGGTTCGTCTCTCCCCCACACACCCCACTCTCATTCTCTCTCTAAATAAATAAAATCTTAAAACAAAATTGGAGTAATCCCTGGTGAACCCAGCTAGAAATAGCCGTAAGTCTCTGCAGCTTCTGGCTGTTGAAGACTGACATATAATCACAAAGACTGATATGGCTTCTACTCCCTGATTTAAGGGCATCGTTCCACATGTTACTCTGTATACTGACTCCAAGCACCCTGACATGAAACTCCCCAGGTAAAAAAATAAAATAATAAAATAAATAAAATAAATAAAAAATAAAATAAAATTAAAATAAAATAAAATAAAATAGAAACTCCCCAGGTAACAGCACACAAAGACCAAGTGGACCATTCAGAACTCCCAAATTAAAATCAGCCCGACCAACATGAAGTCGTAAGGGCCAAATTTCACAACATAAAGACATCTCCCTTCAGGAGTGTTACTTCCCATTTTTCTTTTCTTTTTCTTTTTTTTTTTTTTTTTTTACTTCCCATTTTTCTAGGAGCCCTAAAGTTTCAATCAGGAGTGAGGACAGCATAATGCTTATTCTTTGCCACAGGCAACAATCCTGGTGTCACACACAGCAAAGAGACCCCAAGAGTCCAGTTTAATCCTTTGCCAGTACATGACCACCCCCCATACTCACGGCCTGTATGCTTACTGGACCCCTTACCCAAATGCTCTACTCCCAGATCCTCTCCTGGCTGACTCCTTGATACTCAGATCTCAGCTGAAATGACACTTCTTCACAAGGGCCTTCCCTGATCATCCAAACTTGAGTACCTCTATCCCACCACTGATCACTAAACTTCACCAGGTTTAAGTCCTCATTAACACGTACAGTCAACTGAAATTAGCCTATTCACTTCTTTACATGTTTGCGGTCTGTCTTTCCTCATGAGAACTGCAGGTGAGTGAGCTCAGGACCACAGACTACCTGGCTCAGCATGCTCTTCCCAATCCACATGGGTACTTAACAAGGGGGCAGTGCTGCTGAATGCACAAACAAATGGGGAGCTCACTAGGGCCTGTGAAAGACAATTCTGCCTTTGGACCTGTGAAAGCAGTTCTTCTATAGTGGGACTAAAGTCGAACTCCTTCTACCTTAAATCCATTGTGATTCTTGTCCTGCCCCTGCACACAAGTGTAACTACTCCTTCTCTGTCCTGCTTTCAGCCAGCAAGCCCTGATTTTTTTTTTTTTTTTTTTTTATTCATAGAGACAGAGAGAGGCAGAGACACAGGCAGAGGGAGAAGCAGGCATCATACAGAGAGCCTGACGTGGGACTCGATCCAGGGTCTCCAGGATCATGCCCTGGGCTGCAGGCGGCGCTAAACCCCTGCGCCACGGAGGCTGCCCAAGCCCTGCTTACCCCAAAACTTCTCTGCTCCGTGTTAGTTACTTATTCCCCAGACACTGAAGCTGGGAGCCACCCCCACCACGCTGAGCCCACCTCTGAATGTGCTGTTTGGGAGGGTTCCTCCTGAGGCACAGCACCCGCAGAGGTGGTGCTCTAGCTAACAAGTCCTAAGTACTCCGCAAGGATGCGTCTGTGTAGGCGTGCCTCCCTGGTTCTCTCCTATCTTCCCATCCTAATTTCGACTGCAAAGCCACCAAGCAGAGACATCCTCCTAGATATCAGAACATTTTGATGTTTTAGCAGTTGTTTCCAAGGGCACACAATTTGCATGTAATTGAAGATATGACAAGAGATTGTACACCCAGTCTGGGATACATTAAATTAAAGCTCTGTAGCCTCCCAGAGTTACGATTTCTTAAATTTCTCTTCTTTCATTCCATCTCCCCTTCTTCATCCTTTTAGCCCAGTTCACATGCTTTCCCCCAATAGGATCAGGGACTTCCAGAGCTAAGAGGGGAGGCCACGGCCCATGAAAACCCGAGGGGCATAACACCAGTCATCATGCTCTCCAGTCACAAAGAAAGCAGAGAGCACAGAGAGATGAAGACTCTCTTCATCCGTAAGGCTGTCACTCTATAGGTTTTCCCCTTAGTTTGTATCATGTGGGAAATGGCACTGAGGAACAGAGAAGGCTAGAGGAGTAGCAGACATATTCAGTGCTTAAAGAGGACAGTCTACATGAACAGGAGAGACAAGGGGTCATCACAGCTGGCAGATCGTGAGAATGTCAGGTCTTGCATGTAACCCACACTACCAGAATCACAGCTCTCTGGCAATTTTGTTCTCTACTCACTTCACCTCTATCTTTAAATGCTCCCATGAAGGCAGCTTAAAAGACTAATTAGAAGCAATCTGCACAAACCAGTATTCCAAGATATTTAATGGGGAAAATACATGAGGAGAATTCAGTTAATGTAGCAACGTAATGTAGCAATGTAAAGGGCCTCTTAGATAAATGAATTCCTTAGCTGATTCACTTATTCTTTTCAATAATTTACTCTTCAGTGGTCCAGATGGAACTCTAACTAGAAGAGTGAGCTTGTTTTCCTCACCCACATTCCAAGCCATGGGACATGGGAGTTCTCACTGAAGTGCATGCCTGTTGCAATTAAAGACATGTTTGCGTTCTCTTTCATGACATTTCCCTCCCTTTTGGTTTCCTGTTTTAATGTCATTTGTGCAACAGCAGGGAGATTGGCCAAAGTATGAGAGAAGGCTGCACACTTAGCTATGTTTATGTGTCCTCCCTTCTTGTTTATATTCAATAATTAGCTTGCACATCGATTGGCAAATACTTTTTAAGCCCCTCATGTCTATCTGCTTTTCTCCCATGATATACCCCGATGGACCCCATTAACAGATCTGGTGACTCTCTGGGCAGATGCCTGGATTGGAAATATACACATAGGGTGTGGGAAGGGGGGCAAGGCCCACCACATGACAGGAACTGTCCCAGAAAAGACCTGGCTGGACAGTGAGGCAGAGAGCTCATACCCTTGGCGGCGATCAGCAGGGGGCCCCTCGCTACGTGGAGGGTTCAACCTCTTGCTTCTGTTTGGAAATGAGCTGCGCTTCCTTTAGAGACAGGTATACCTCTTCCTGAGGATCATAGTAGTAGAACTTTCGGATATAAGAGATCAGAGGTCTGTGAAAAATACAAGAAGGATTAAGTGTTATTTACAAAGACCATAAACAAAAGACCACCTTTGTTCAACCCTTCCTTCTTCCCCAACCTCTATATGGCTATGACTACACAAAAAAACTCTGCCCACCTAAGAAACTTCCCACGTTCTTACTTGCTATAGTTCCGTTTCCCTCCCTCTTACCACCTCCATTCCAGTCTTTGTAAAGACTGCAGAAGGGAGGCTCACGCTCACACACACACACACACACCTTCCTCTCTTCTAGCTGCCATGTGATACTTCTAGAGTTAGGTGCTAAGACACATGAGAAGAGAAAGGAGGGTGTCGTGAATAGCTCCAGGCTCTGCCTGTGCAATCAGCTGGCAGGTCTCATTCACATTTCTAACTAAGCCTCTATTCCTGCCCCAACCCGAAAGACCCCATTGTACTTAGGCAGTGGGAGATCCGGGATGTGATCTATCCGGACGAGCTGTCGGATTCGGAATCTGCAAAGGTGCTGGAGGGATTTGACATTGCTGAATCTAGACACTGGATAGAGCAGCTGGACTGGAGTTGGTGGTAGTCCTTCAAGAATGAAAACCAAGGACATATTCAGAAGGAATAATGCAGCTAACTACAACTTATGAAATAAATCCAGGGAAGGGAAATAGGGTTTGTTTATAGTTCTCATGTTCGTTCTGTGCAAAAGCTCCCTTCCACAAAGAACTGGTGATTTCCATTTGCAGAAGCATTACCACTAATATTTCACTCAAGAGACTCCATTCTCCTCTGCCAAGGGCCTCCCTAGCATGACTCTTAACAGCTGAGAATCTAGCTCTTCAGAATAGCCCATGCTAGAGAGCATTAGGCTCTCCATGAAAAGTGAGAATCAAAGCATCCCTGCTAGGAATGGGAGATACTTATAGGGCACATCTAGCAGCATCCTGAAGGAGAGAACTCAGGAAGGCTGCTCAGAGGGGTCCCCGGCCAATTCCAACTAAGAAGCTGTTAAGTAGAAAGCAATGGCTAGGATCAAGTCTACAATCCTGCACTCCTGCCATTTACTTACAAGTGGGTTTAACCACCTCTTATTTCCCACACTGTGCCCCCACCCCCCACCTCCTCCCATCCTTCTTGCTCCTGAAATTCTAGGCTGGGTCCAGAAACAGAAAAAAAAAAAAAAAAGATGATGCTTTTAATAGGAAAGCGACTACAGTAGCTTGGACAAGCTGGAAGAGTAGCACTCAGTGCCAAAGTGCCTGCTGCCTAATGCTAACCAGGCCCAATGGGACACACCCTGGTTTCATCAGTATCAGAAGGCTTGGTGCTGGGAAATTCCAAGCCCCAAGGGTCAATGCCACGGAACAGAGACATCCACAATGGCAGGAACACTTAAACCAATTCAAGGGAACAAAGAATATCCTGGTTTCAAGAAACAAAGGGCCTGCAGAAGGTAAATAAGCAAACTGCTCTCAGAAAGAATGAGTTGCAAAATCTTTGAAAGAATTCTTTTCTCAGTCACTGTCCTCTCGAAATTCTGCAGACACATCTCGTGGGAAAATAACATATATATGTTTTTACAGTTTAATTTCAAGCGTTTTTAAAATTTGGTTTGAAGGTGTGAGAAGAAAAACTTAAAGCTTGCAGATCGTCTCCCAAAGCCTTTGCATGGTCACTGGTAGTGGACTTTCTAAAAAAGAAAAAAGTTAAAATACTATGATACTGTTACTAAGCAAGTTAAGCATGACTTAAAACATTTAACTCACTTAGTCTTCAAACTATACTTTGAGACAGGTATCTATCTCTATTATCCCCATTTCACATATGGAAGAAGCTGAGGCTTACTGGGCTCAGAGAACTTGCTCGCCACACAGAACCAACAAAATTGACCTGCCATGAGCACCTCCTTTGTCTCATGAAGAGCTGGGTCCACAGAACCTCAGAGGGTTTTTCTAGGTGTCTCCCCAGAGCACTTGCCCTTCTGCTGTCCACGACAGTCCCAGCACTTTGATGCATGACTGGTCTCAGTCCACTCCTCACTCCTATTCCTTCAGTCCTTGGCCTTACACCTTGAAGCACTTAGCCCTCCTCCACCTGTATGGTTGGTCCTTTCCTCTCACATACAGTTTAAAAAAAAAAAAAATCACACTTGGGTTTCTCCCTTGAATGTATTTAAATTCAAGTGGTTTTAAAATGGTATTGGGTTCAAAGGCCTCTTTGAATTTATACCCTCTCTTATATGTTTAAAAAAATATTCTTCAGTAAATTAAACTATGGCAAACAGAAAGCTTTTGCAGGTGGGTTGTAATAATGCTAAATTCAAAATGATGTTTCAGAGATAAAATTTATGAATCTATTTATTCCCAAAGACACAGTACTATCGGACTTGTGCTTAAAGATATCAGGATAATAAGCAGCATAAAATTATCCGATTGTTTGCCTACTTGAATTTTAATGACCATATATGCTTGCCTATTTAATTGTGTTACTTTTAGCCTTAGGTTGACAAATAGCAATTTGAAACCTGTTAATTCTCTGATATTCCCTGGTGTCAACCTGACCATTTACTGTTTGCCCCCTTACACAGCAAACAATTGGAGCTCACACAACCAGAACATGTTAATGGAAGAGGTTAGAAATGGAAATAAATCTGAGATAACACTCCAGGACAGCAGAAAGAGAGAGGGTGAGGTGAAATAGTGACCATCAGAAACCTTCCTTTGGTCCTTTATATCAAGGGTTTGGGGCACCAATCTAGCTTCTGGCCACTTCACTGTTTGTCCCCCCCCAAAAGGACCAGATTAGGGGTGACAAATTTCTTCTAAGTTTGAACACCCCCAACACACAAGTCTTTCTGTCAAACCAAACTTCCCTGAAGACCAGAGTTATCCAGCCCAAAATGTCAATAGTGCTGAATTAAGAACCCTGGGAAACAGTGAAGACCTGTCACTGAACAAATAATTATAAGATTAATGATGGTTACAAAAGAGAGATAAATTTCCTTAAGAGTTGTGCAATTCAAAGTGTGATTAAAAAATAAAAGGTATTGGGATTGCTGGCTGGCACAGTTGGTAGAGAACACAACTCTTGATCTCAAGGCTGTGAGTTCAAGGCCCATGTTGGGTGTAGAGATTACTTAAAAAATAAAATCTTGAAAAAAAATTGTTTTTTTCTCTTCATGCACTTCACAGATGATGAAGATCCTCTCAACAAAGAAGGATATGCTCCCTTTGAGTTTTGGTTCTAACAGCATCAGCAGGGGCAGCCCCGGTGGCGCAGCGGTTTAGCGCCGCCTGCAGCCCAGGGCATGATTCTGGAGACCCGGGATCAAGTCCCATGTCAGGCTCCCTGCATGGAGCCTGCTTCTCCCTCTGCCTGTCTCTGCCTCTCATTTTCTCTCTATGTTTCTATGAATAAATAAAAATCTTAAAAAAAAAATAACAGCATCAGGGGTTCCATACCAATCCAATCATACTCTCTTTTTAGACTGTTGCATGGTAGTGTTAGGCATTTGGTTTGTAACTGTGGAATGCACCAGACTAAGATGCAAACAGTGACTTCAGTGACCATCCTCCACTACTAGGGAGAGAGAAAGGGGAAACCAAGATCAGGCGCCATCATTTTTATTTTCACTAAGGGTACCTCCCCTGATGCCAATTATTCCATTTATTCTAATTAATTTCCTTCCTTCTGTTCCTTACTTGCCACCATTCAGAACTTTCCATTAGTCCTAGCTTTATGATTCCTATGATCCCTGGTGTCCCTTTAACACCAGTCTGCATGGCCTGTCAGTGCAGCCAGCTCTAGTATTGAGCCAGAAAAAAAACCTGACTTTGAATCCTGGCTCTGTAACTCACTGTACCTCTGTGGTGTGTGTGTGTGTGTGTTTAGATAGGCTCCACACTAAGCCCAATGTGGGGCTTGAACTCATAACTCTGAGATCAAGACCTGAGTTGAGATCAAAAGTAGGACATTTAACCGATTAAGCCACCCCAGCTCCTCACTGTACCTCAGTTTCTTAATCCAAATGAATGAATGAATGAATGAATGAATGAATGAAAGAAAAGAAAAAGAAAAAGAAAGAAAGAAAAGAGAGAGAAAGAGAGAGGAAGGAGGGAGAGAGGGAGACTACGTGTCTCTTTAAAGGATTTTTTTTTTCTTTAAAGGATTTTGTAAGGGAAATGAAATAATACCTGGCTCCTTGCAGGCATTCGGTTATCATCATCCCAAAGTCTCAATAAACAGGCTCCTTTCAGATTCTGAGTTAAAAATCCCTGGTGCAGGTTAAGAAAGTTTGACCTAGGGCAGCACGGATGGCTTAGCAGTTTAGCACCGCCTTCAGCCCAGGGTGTAATCCTGGAGACCTGGGATCGAGTCCCACATCAGGCTCCCTGAATGGAGTGTGCTTCTTCCTCTGCCCCCACTCCCTTCTCTCTCTGTCTCTGATAAGTAAATTTTTAAAAAAATCTTAAAAAAAAAAAAAGAAAAAGAAAGTTCGACCCAAATGCTAATGACTACCTCTTCTTCACACCAAGTCCCTGATAGAATCAACCTCACAGAAATACCTAGACTTTTATGACAAGCAAAGGACAACAAACAATGGTAAAGGAGAATACTGGCTTTGTCTTTTGTCCCAATCCTTCAAAGAGAGGTCACTTATGATCTAGGAGTAAATATTAACTCTGCTTTGCCTTCTGTGTTTGATTATAATTTTAAGTATAAATATATATCCTTTTTTTAAAGATTTTATTTATTTATTCATGAGAGACACACAGAGAGAGAGGCAGAGACACAGGTAGAGGGAGAAGCAGGCTCCATGCAGGGAGCCCGATGTGGGACTTGATCCCGGGTCTCCAGGATCACGCCTTGGGCTGAAGGCGGCGCCAAACCGCTGAGCCACCGGGGCTGCCCATAAATAGATACCCTATCTGTAGCATTCCTCACAGGTCCTAGAAAGACATCCTCCACTAATAAACACACTTCTGACTTCCTTATGTAGTCTCTACAAATCACAGCAAACTCAGATTTCAATCTGCTTGCTGTTACTTTTCCCCATTAATGGAGTGGTTAGTAAATAAAGCAGAGGATTTGGAGACTGTTGAGCCTGGGTTTGAACTTTGACTTGAGCACTGATCAGCTAAGTGACTTTTTTTTTTTTTAGATTTTATTTATGAGAGAGAGAGAGTACATGCAAAAGAGGGAGTGAGAGAGAGAGAGCAAGGGCCAAGGGAGAGGGAGTGGGAGAAGCAGACTCCCTACTGTGGGGGCTCCATCCCAGGACCCTGGGATCATGACCAGAGCCCAAGACAGACGGTGAATGACGGAGTCACCAGGCGCCCCTGCAAAGTGACTTTTAGAGTAAGCAACTTCACATTTGAGCCTCAGCCTCACTTTCTTCACTGGCAAATGAAAATGGTCTTATCTATAACTAGACCAATCTATTAGCTAACTTTGGGTTGTTATAAAAAATTATATTTATTCCTTTCTTTATTTTTAAAGATTTTATTTATTTATTTGACATAGAGAGAAAGAGCCAGAGAGCACAAGCAGGGGGGAACTGCAGAAGGGAGGGAGAAACAGGCTCGGAGGCAGGGCTAGATCCCAGGACTCTGGTATCATGACCCTAGCCAAAGGTAGATGCTTAACTGACTGAGCCACCCAGGTGCCTCAGAGATGAGAGATGTTTAAATAAAGAATCTGACAAAGTAACTGGCACAGGATACACAGTTAATAAATAGTAGCAACTGTTACAAGTTCTAGCCCTTACCAAAGTTAAGAATCTTAGTTAAAATTTCTGCAGACACACACATTTGTACAAGGAAATGTACAAGGAAATGAGCTATACCAGAGGAGTCCAAGACTCCTCAAAGTCTCTCAAATACCCTACAAATAGATATATGCTCCAGACTCCTCTGAGAAGATTTCCCTGGTTCACCCATAAACAGAGCTGCTTCCTTTGCCCTTGTCAATCACTGACCACCATGCCTTGTATTGAGTTCTACATGTGCCCTTGCCTTTATCTTCCTACCTATACTCTAAGGCTATGAGATCTCTGAGGGTAGAGGTGTGGCTTATTTTTGATACTGAGTTACAGAATTAATGTTTGTCAAATAAATAATCTCTCAAAGTCACAAGCTTTAAAAATTACTAAAGAGTCAATTCCTGTAAGAAAGGATTCTAACTTTTCCCTTTAACCAAGTCAACTGCACGAGACCCAACTGTGTTGACAGCACTGAGGCAAATACGAAATGAAGTGAGAATTAATACAGTTCACACCCTGTCATGCCTTATTTAAATCACCGAGATTATAAAACACATTCCTGTAACCTGGCTCAATCCTGTTACTGATGTTCTGCCTGGGGCTCCCCTGGAACTTCTTTTTAGAGCAATTTCTTGGCACATAGTTTACTTAAGAATCTTAATTTGATTCACTGGGAATGCATGAAGTTCTCATTTTAAGTTATGTTTGAATCTTACAAATTCCTCAATTAATGTGCTTGCCATTTTGCCTTTCCCCAACCCTATAAAATAAGGAGACAGACTCTTCCAAACCATCCCCTTTCTCCCTTCGGTAGAGATTATATAGATACCTCCCTACTTAGTGGGCAGAAAGACTATATAACCATACCAGCAAAGATGGGAACTTCCCAATCCTCCCAAATGGAGAAATGCTGGTAGAGATATGAGATACAAGAACTATCTACTCTTTATTTATATATTTTTTAATTTTTTATTTATGATAGTCACAGAGAGAGAGAGAGAGAGAGAGAGAGAGGCAGAGACACAGGCAGAGGGAGAAGCAGGCTCCATGTACCAGGAGCCCGACGTGGGATTCGATCCCCGGTCTCCAGGATCGCACCCTGGGCCAAATGCAGGCGCTAAACCGCTGTGCCACCCAGGGATCCCCTATCTACTCTTTAATAGCAAGTTTAGTACAAATGGACAAAATCCACAGCTGACTGCCATTGAATTCAGTCTCCTTGACTCTCATCATGGCCTTTCTAGTGAATACTCTTTTACCTTCCCCATTCCCATAGAAACGGCCTACGCAAGTTGTCCCCTCTCTGCTTCACATGGAATTGTGAGATGCTTGAATTAGGGATAGGGACACACCTCTGAATGTTAAATATTCACATGATGGCTGGACATCAGAGGTAGCATTTGTTTTCTCATTTGTGGGTTCAGAAAAGCAAAGCTTCCTTCTCGGTATGTTGAAGGATTAATGTTTTAAGAGCAGGGGACTAACCACTGGACTCTAGGAAGAGTGGTTGCAATAGGAGCCAGGAAAAAAACTTCAAGTAAATGTGGCTTTTTCTAGGGGGCAGGGGGACATATTTTGATACTAGACTGCATCATACCCAAGTAAGTTAATTAATGTAACCATAGCCTTACCTGGAACCCTGGATCTCAAGAAATAGAGAAACTTCCCATTCTTGGAGTGCATGATGGCTCTCTTAATGAACTCCACCACTGATTGACAGCGGTCCTCAAACTTGGGATGACACCACAGGCTGAAAGTTCCTGCCATGGAAAATTAAAGAGAAGTAAAGATGTAAAAACTTACTTTTAAAATATCTGGGAAGCTAACCTGAACATCTTAATGATTCTCAAGTCTGCGACGATAGTTTGTAGGCAAGTTGTCAGACAAAGGTTCCTGAAGCCACCTGTTCCTGTTTGTTCCACAATTAATGGAAAGAAAGACATTGTGTTCAGTAAGACATTAGTGTGAACACTGATCTTTAAATCATATGTCATAAGAAAAGACTGCCATAGGAAAACCAAGTTTAAATGATGCCCTCTTCAGAAGATCTGTGTTCAAGCATTTACAGAATAGTCGAGACAAGAAAGGAAGATCAGTTTTGCAAATCTCATTCATTCATGTGTTAGGCACAAAACATTAAATTCTAAGTCTTTTCTTCTTTAAACTTTTATTTTTATTTTTTTAAAGATTTATTTATTTAATTCATTCATGAAATACACACACACACACACACACACACAGAGTGAGAAAGAGAAAGAGAGAGAGAGAGAAAGAGAGGCAGAGACAACAGGCAGAGGGAGAAGCAGGCTCCACACAGGGAGCCCAATGTGGGACTCAGTCCTGGGTCCCCAGGATCACACCCTGGGCCAAAGGTGGCGATAAACCGCTGATCCACCTGGGCTGCCCCATTCTTTAACTTTTAAAATCAACTCTCCCCCCCCATGGTATGCTGCAAAGATCCCACCCCAAGTTTTAGAGTCCTAAAAGCAAAAGGGAATCTGAACTCCCATGACTAAAACCAAACCAAAACCTCCAAAAACTCAAGCATTAAATGCAAAGGAATTGCCTACAAAAGGGACAGAATCCAAGGGAACTACAGATTTGAGTCTCTCTAATTACTCTCACAGTATCACTTAAAAAGATGAAGACAAGGGCAGCCCCGGTGGCGCAGCGGTTTAGCGCCGCCTGCAGCCCAGGGCGTGATCCTGGAGACCCTGGATCGAGTCCCACGTCGGGCCCTCTGCATGGAGCCTGCTTCTCCCTCTGCCTGTCTCTGCTACTCTCTCTCTCTGCATCTCTATGAATAAATAAATAAAATCTTTAAAAAAAAAAAAAGATGAAGACAAATGCTCCATTGCAAACTGGCAACTGGGAGACCCACAAAGCTTCTATTAAAAATCCCATTTATTCAAGGAAGAAAGCCCCTTTGAACAATAAGTAACGAGAGCACCATTTGAAGGTTCTCTCGTTACCGGCCTCTCACCTATCAGGGACCTAGAGGTCAGGCATTCATTCCTCATTCTCATGGCCTAGTCAGTCGTCATTTTCATAGCCTTAAGAAATACTGCATTCTGAAATGCTTTAATTTGCATGGTGTTTTTCTGCTGGCTTGATTTTGGCCTTTGGGAATAAGAGGAAAGCAGGCAGCAGGCTACACCACAGCAAGCTAATTCTCAGGCCAGTGGACTGAAGGGCCTTTCTCTTCATGTACCTTTAAGGCAGGGGTGGGGACAGAGGAAACCATTGACAAAGCTGCACTGGCCTAATGCACTACTTCCTGCCTCACAGGAGAAGCGAACCAAGTAAATACCGCATGACATAGCTAAGAGCAGAAAAGGCCTGGTGGTGGCTGAAGAGACCATGCAGGAGGTCCTCACTTGTGATGCCATGTCTAACACAGCTTGTGTAAGACTGATCACAGGTGGGGTGAGTCCCTGAAACTCCCCAAAGTTCTCTCCACTTTTTTTTTTTAATTTTATTTATTTATTCACGAGAGACCAGAGAGAGAAAGGCAGACACAGGCAGAGGGAGAAGCAGGCTCCATGCGAGGAGCCCGATGTGGGACTCGATCCCGGGTCTCTAGGACCACGCCCTGGGCCAAAGGCAGACGCCCAACAGCTGAGCCACCAGGCATCCCAAGTTCTCTCCACTTTAAAAATTTTTAACACAGGGAAATTGACAAAGGATGGATTACCCAGCCCTGCCACCAATGATCATCATGATTTTCTGTCCCAGGTCAGAGACAGAATGCCACAATGCAAAGTCAGTCCAGACAGCAGGGTTGAAAGAATCAGCCTCGAGACGTGACCACAGCACTCAGCACCTGCTGACCACAAAGGAGGAGGTACCCCCAGGAAGACAGGTAGTCTAGAGCATGATGATCCCAAAGAGTCTCTGAGTTCTGCTCACTATTTTCTAAGAGACCACACAGGTGACCTAAAGAAATGATCACTGTGCTGCCTGGCAAGAAAACTTGATGTGATGGACTCTCAGACAAAGAAATTCACCACAGGACAGTCCAAGGATCAACACTAAATTCTCTTCTTTGTGTATAGGATTTAATAGAAAGTCTCTCTAGATGTTGAGCCTAATTACGAACAGAGCTTGGGAGAGTTTGTGGAATGGTCCTAGCTTATTTTTTCCTTCTATTAGGAGAGTTCTACCAACTTTGTTCTGTTCATCTTGTTCAGGCTCTCCTCTTTCCAAGACAAAATGCTGAGAATACTTTTCCATAGAACCCTCACCTTCCTTCCTATCCCAGCCAACATCCCTTCTAGTGACTGAAACTAGTACCCATAACAACATTCAATGGAGTATGAGATTTCCTCCCTCTCTGTAGTTCACCTCTCTAAAACCTTCCCATGAGAAGGCCAGCTAGCAAGAATAGAGAGTAGCACAGGGGGAAGAAAGTGTTCCTCAAACGGCAGCATGTCTTACCTCTGTAGTGCTCCATTCTCGTGTGGTGGGTGATACCCTGTGACCGGAAACTGAGGCTCAGGATGTAACGAGGATCAGAGCTATCTCGTACCAGGAAAGAGCCATCTGGCTTCCCTTTCAGCTTCATCTCTGCATCTTCCCAGTTCATTGGTCCCCAGTACCAACCACACTATCAAAAATAAGAAGTGGTCAGGTACTTCACAGCACTGGGGAAACATGCACATTTTCAGCACAATCTATTTTACCACAGAAGAACCACTCCCTTCCCACCACTTTCAAAATATTTTACTAAGTAAGAGCTGCTAAGGGCATCCTAAGCATTAGCAACGAATAGCCGGCTCATTCTTTTAGCCCTCTAAAGTAACAAAATAATAAGCCTACAATCCCATTAAGAAGGCCTTACCAAAAAAAGAAGAGGGAACTGGGTCAGTTAATCTGTCAAAGTCAGCCTCAACTAGGTGAACAGCTCTCCACAACTGTTCTTCACCACTTTCAAACGTTTTTCCCCAAGATTCAATTTTACAATGTCCCTTATGGAATTGATCATAGCAGCATATTGCTTTGGCACTGTAAATACAGAGGCAAGATAACTATTCTTCCTCTAAAAATAAGAAAAGGAGAGCCCAGGACAGAAGAAGGAGAATGGGAGAGGAGACCAGCCGCCAGTCTCTGGGCACCGCCTACCTTCTCCAACTCTCGAAGGCTGGCTGCAAAGCTGCTTGAGTCGGGCCGGTAGAGCGGACACTGGAGATGCTGGGGGGGCTGGCTGTGCAGGGATTCAGCTGCTCGGATGGGAGCAATCCGGGGAAATGCATCTGCGGGGCAAGACAGTGGCGGTCACTTGTTCACCCTCCTGGCTCCCAACCATATAAGCAGACCCTCCTCCCAAAACAGAGATGCTAACTGAAGAGGGGCAAGGCATTAGAAGCTAAGCTGGAAAGGGTGGAAGCCAAAGCAGTGGGAAAGAGCTGGATGGGCTGGAACAAAAAGCTGTGTGGGCTCGTGTAAGCTGTGAAGGATGGGTGGGGGCATTCGACCCCAAGAGAGGGGTAGGGGAGCTGCTCACTAACCTGACTAAGGTGACTACTTCAGGGGCTTCACCAGCCTAGAGCGATTCCAGCTTCTCCCACCTCGAGGTGAAGCGCCGGTAAAGCAGCCTTGGAAATAGTGACTCGTTTACTTGCCCAGGGAGAGGAACGATTTTGCCAGGCAAGTAGAAAAGAATGCCGATTTCATTCATTTTACTCCTTGGGTACTGGAGGCTGGCAAAGCAGGTGTGGGCTACTAAATGCTTGGTACTTATTTACAAGGCTGCAGTAAATACTAAAAACTTAGAAACACCAGAGAATTTTGAGAACTTTAAACCTTGCCAACCTGAAATTAAAGAGGTCTCCTAAGTGGTATCTACTCAGAGATTGCAAAGCATTATCAGCAGCAAAGAGGTGAAAAATTCAATAGTCTTTTATCCCTACCAAAAATCAGATTCACCTCCACAGGGAACAATGGGTTAGAAAAAACAGTTCTTGGCCTCAATTCCAAGGAGTTCTGGCCCAGCCAAGGGGATAAGATTTAAGCTTTCTCATAAGTCCTATGATTTCCATAAATAGACTTCTCCCATCCTTCAAGAGTATATCACTTTGTACTCCCAACTTTTACAAGGCTTGCCTCTAAACTAAGCTAACCTGGGGCATGGGGTGGAGGAGGCGGAGGTAGGGGAAAAGACTGCAGGGAAGACCCCATCGGAGCCACAAGGACAGATGTAGGCAGCGTCCCACTGATATCATCTAGAAGAGAGAACAGAAGCAAGAGGTTCAGAAATACGAGCACAGATGAGTGAGGTGAAGCAGAGGAGGGAGAAGGATCATCAGGCTGCCCTCTGGAGCAAGATGGCCTGACCTTCACCCTGTCTTTTTGCACAAAGGGCAACAATCATCTTAACCTGGTTTCCTTTGTTGAAAGCAGAAAAATAAGGATATTCCTAAAGCAGTCTACCAGCAGTAGATTTAGGGCAAGGTAAGTACAGATCTAATCAACATATGGACAGTAAATGTTACAGCATGCAGGTAAGAGATCCATTTAACTGCTTAAGGAGATGACAAGGGTGCTGAGAAATGGACAGGGGATAATTGGGTCATTATTAGAAACCCAAGAGCTTGTTGGCTCCTGGAAAAGAACAAGAGGTCCCTACAGCTCACCCCCTCCCACTAGGGCAAGAAGGCATACAGCGATGGAGACTATACCTAGGAGGCTGAGGCTTCTTCTCGGAGGAGGAGGGGGAGTTGGAGGGTGTGGAGAGGTCAGGCCCCGCTGAGAGATGTCCACATCCACAAGCGACACAGTTTCACCTGAGGGATTCATGGAGCAAGCATGTTATGGAAGCACCTTGTCCAAAGCTGAGGCCAAAAGCAAAGGAAAGCAAAGAGCAAGCAAGCAAGGCTAGGGGCCCCAGCTCTCAAAAATCTCAAAATCTAATGCTTCCCAGAGCCAGAATCACCCCAAACACCTGTTTACAGATGTGTGTACAAATTTCTGTCTTAGGGAACAAGGCAAGTCACTTGTTACAAGTCCAAATGGACATGGAAAGCAGGTGCCAGAAGAATCTAAGAACTGTACCTAAGTTGAATGCAGATAAAGGTCCCAAGGTGAGCCCCAATTTCTTCCTAAATGGCTTTCTACATCTAGATTTTCCAGAATATTCACTCATAAGAGAACCAACCATTTTGGGTATCAACTAGTTCCTAATGGCTGAGGCTACAAAGGCCAAAAAGTATATTTACACTCCTAATAAGGAACCTCTTTTAGTCAGCCAAATCAGGTAAGCTCCATGGGAGTTTCTCCTACTTCCTGCATATCATGCAGTTCTGTTACCTGCTATATACCCTCCTTGCCACCCAAGCCCACCTACCCTCTTTCTACTTCAGTCACCAGAGGATAAAGGGTATTTTATTAACAAAGACTGACAGACAAGTTTTGTTAGGTCTGATCCACTGAGGAGAACTCAAGATTTCTCTAATTTGGTCCCTGGGGTGTTATTTCCAACATTTTTTTTCTCATTTGGGAGGCTGAATTAGCCCCTCAGCTAGAATTTTATTATTTCCCAGTTAAGAAAATGAGGTAACCAATATCTCTTAAAAGGCCAAGAGCTGAGCTTTCAGAATCTAAAACACAGTTGTTGCTGTTATTGTTTACAAAGGTCTTGGCACTAATTAAGATAAGCAGAAAAGCTCTGCCGGGGTGCCTGGTTGGTCTGGTCGGTAGAGCATGTGACTCTTGATCTCAGGATCATGAATTGGAGCCCCACTTAGGGTGTAGAGCTTACTGGGCAAGGGGGAGGGGGTGGTGCAGAGAAAGAAAAGAAAGCTCTGGGAAGCCGGACTCAGACTCATCATATAGCTTAGTAGCTGAAAACCCAGCAGCCCAGAATAATGCAGTGAGTCCACAAGAGTGTGTTTCCTGAAGGGTCAGAGGTCTAGACAACAGGTATAGCATGTAAATTTTAAAAAAGGGGGAGGGAGGATGTAATTCAAGAGAGCTAAGTTTGTCTGAAACAGGAACACCAAACCTGAAAGTACAAATGTGGGTGAGTATACCTTACTTTAAAGAGGAAACAATTATGAATGAGAAAAACATGCTGCTACAGGACAGGATTCTTTAATTCTGGGCTTTGGGTAAGAAGAGAGGCCTCCTTCTCCATCTGTGCCTACTACAGACACCAACTCACTTGTTCTGACAACTCACAGCAGTCCATGTAGTAATAGGGGTCTCACTAGCCTGAACATCTTCTGGAAATGTCCATTCCTAAGTCATAATTATTCCAGTCATCTTTTTGAGGGATACAAGCTCCAAAAGAGTTTGAAGTTAGGATTTTGGGGTTGGGCCACAAACAAGGAGGAGTCCTCAGTTCCTGACACTGGAGGCAGTGGGCTAAAGATCTTCCACCACCTACCCAAGCAGAAGTTTCATATATAACTGACATAACAAAAAGGCTCCTTATCTGAGCAAGTTCCCTATTAAAGGGAAGGCAACTGTTCAAAGGATAGTCAAACACTTTCCTACTTAAGCAACTGTGTTCTCTGCTGCAGGAGGAAAGATTTAAATTAGACACAATGAATAACTTTAACAGCTGCAAGAGCTCCTGGCTCCTAAAATGGGTAAGACAAGAGTTCATGTAATCCCCTTTGCCCAAAGTCTTTAAAAATAGACCAGATAATTGTGGATCATGTTTATTAACTCCCCTGGAAGCAGGGACAGGAATTGTAGGACTTCTAGAGAGTGGTTTATGTACTGTGAGCCTATAAGTTTGTAATTCCTACTTTTAATTTATATGTGATGACCTTGAACTAAGCACTGCATAACTGCCAGGGCCACCTAATTACCAGCAAGCAGTCTCTATCTCAAACTATAAAGCATCCAAAGTCAAGAACACATTCCACATCATAAAAATAGCCTCAGCCCAAACCCAGCGGGCATGGAATGAAGGCAGTAACTGTAGGCCCGCCTGCAGCTCCCCTGCAGTGCCCCTGCAAGTGTCTCCTGACAGGTCTCAGAACACGCCTGCTCTCGGATGTCAGAAGAAAAAAGAGAGCGATCACCCTTACCTGTGAACAGGGGGCTGAAGGAGACCGGAGAAAAGGCACTTTGAGTTCTTGTCAACCTGGGTTTCCTGGGAGGATGAGAAAGCACACAGAGAATATAATGGAGGGTGGGGGAATGAACACATACACATTTAAATCACCATGACACCCAATTCCAGATGCCCTGAAAAACCTAGTAAACCCTAGTCACTGTCAGCAACACCTTTGTAATAAAGCCTAAAATTAAAGGAGGAGAATGAAACAATTCAGGCAATTTTTAAAAAAAATTTTTAAGATACTTATTAATTCACGAGAGACACAGAAAGAGAGAGAGGCAGAGACACAGGCAGAGGGAAGCCCGATGCGGGACTCGATCCCAGGGCCCCAGGAGCCAAAGGCAGACACTCAACCACTGAGCCACCCAGGGGTCCCAATTCAGGCAATTTCTTAAATGGATTTGGCTACAAAGTTCAGCCTACAAAGCAATGAGAAATCCCTTTGGATCTCTCCACACCCAGCAATATTAGAAGAGCAAAACACCTTGAGTAGTAATTAGCAAGTCCATTTCTGGAGGAAAAAAAGTCAGATGCAAGGTTGATTTTCATGAGAGCCAAGAAAATGGCTCTTGACCTAACAGATGTCATCTCACAGCAAAGGCTTTCCCTGTGGCCCTGCCTCAAGGTGCAGAAGGTCCCAAAGTGAACCAGGGAATAGATTTGGACTTGAGAATGGCTCTACAAGAAGCACAGGCAATGTTCAACCACTAAGATACCTGATTTCTACACAAATACCCCCAGGCCATGGGGCAAAGCCATCAGCTAACAAGGGGACGTCCTCAGGTTAGGGGCTCTGCCTGGTACCCAAAGAAAATGGCCCCTTCCCCCTCTCTGAGCTGCCAGTCATATAGCTCTATCCATGACTTCTTGATGTGGCTCCAGGCAGCCAGCTGGAAAACCCAGATCTCCTGTGAAAAGATATACGAAAGGTAACTTCACTTTGTACCGATTTCAACCGGCTTTTCAGTGAGAAATGAAAGAAATCCAAAAGACTCCAACGAAGACTTTCTGGCCAGAAATGTGCTAAGCTCAAAAACCTCACTTCAGGATGATTGAATTGACTACAAGGGAAAGAACTCACAGAAGTGATAAAAATACGCTCTATCTGGACTGTGTGGCAGACCTTCTGTGACTGTATATATTTGCCAAAATTAATAGAACTGGACACCAAAAGAAAGGTGACTTTTAGGTGGTCATAAATTATACCTCAACAAACCAGACTTGAAACAAAAAACAAAAGCCCACAACTTGAATGCCTGACTCTTGGCCTTATACCTGGCTCACATTCCACAATTACTCTCACCCAAAGGACTAAATAAAGCTTCAAATGCACCAACAAAGAAGCAGCATAGAAAATCCAAGATGAAACCCTATTTGAATTATTTGGGACTTTGGAAAATCTTTACGCATTTGTTTTAACACAGATGTCTAAGCTTTTCAAAACCATCTTGTGAAGACCTTACTCAGAAAAAGCCAAGACGGTGGATTCCAATCTCACACTCCCTCTGCAACTTCTGCGCTGAGACTTCTCATCTAATGATGGTGCCTACTGTGCCTGCCCCACCCAAGGCACACATAGGAGACACGGCTGCATCAAAATAAGACACAACCACACACAGGCCTCTGTTTATAAAAGTTGCCCGTGACAGTCTGCAGCTCCGTTCCAAAACTCCAGAGGGCTGGAATGGGAAGTTAATTCCACTGGACATGAGCTTTAAGACTGAAGAGCTTCCAAATTGATTTTTATTTGATAACTTGTGGGTACCACATGAAGCCCAGCAAGTAGAAACCTAAAGCACTGGCCTCTCAAAGGGTTCACACCTCAGCCATTTGGCCGTTTGCCTCTTTTCAAAGGAAGCTGCATTACTCTGCCATCTGCCCATGCTGGGGACGAGCCTCTTCAGTGCCAAGCACTGAAGAACGGCAGTACCCAAATGCACACATCTTGCGGGGGCCTTCTCACTGCGGCTCATCTTCTCCCCCACCCCCGGCATTCTGCAGAAGAAAATCAGTTTCTAGGATCTAGAAAAAGAAATACATCAGACTCTGAACACAGGCAGAGCCATTTGCGAGCTCTGGGATGGCAAGTAAGGGGGCCTCAGGGCTGGAGGCCTGAAGAGGTAGAAGGTCTAGGAGACGGATAGGCTAATAACAATAATAAGTGCTTCCTTCTCTCTTCAGGTAGACGCTAACTAAAAATCCAAAGCAGTTTCTGTCTCAAGGATCCTGAGAGCATTCTAATGGTAGTCATTCATAAAAAGACCAATCTAGACAACTATAAAAAACAAAGCAAGGGAACAATTAACATAAAATTGAGGATGGTGGTTATATGGGGGGAGGGAAGAGATGTAATCAGGAAGCAACACACAGGGGTCTTCAAAGCCACTGATAACATTCTATTTGCTAAGCTTAGTGGTGGGTACCCAAGTATGCAATTCATTATTATTATTGCACATACACTTTATGTATCTCCTTTTGTATACATGAAGAATTTAATACGATAAAAGCCCATCTAAGCTGGATGTGCCATTTTGGGAAAGTAACATGAATGATTCAGCTCCAGTAACATTTTTAACTAACACTTCTATACTACATTCCCATGTTGTTTTATTCCTCCCCAGATGACCCGGACAAGCATTAGGGTGCGAAGGTAAGTCATTTTTACTTTGCCAGTGAGCCACTTGCATCTTAGCAGCAGAAAGACTTGAGAGGTTGGGTGGGGTAAGATCAGGTGGGCTATATCTCAGGTGGCAGAGAAGGACACAGGCAGTAGAAGACCTGAGGTAAAGGTCTTCTTTGGGGCTAGCAGTCCTTTGTGTCAGCTATGCATCACTTGTGCTACAGATAACAAAGAGAATGCCTCTGTCCACTTCCAGTCTGCAAATTGCGGATTGTACAGCAACAGATCCATGGGATAAAATGAGTTAAAAGCATTACACTAGACGGGCCAACAACACATTGATAAAACCACTGGCCACTTTTCAAATTTCTTGAAATCTAAAATATAAACCATGAAATAATACTGTCCTCCCTCTCTTGTTCATAAAACCCCTCTACTGATGTCCTAAAACTTAAACCCGTCCTTTTCTACAGTAAATCTCAAATTCGGATGTCCAAATGTCAAGTTTGATGGCCACAATTTACCTCTGTGCCTGCTAGAGCATGCAGTGCCAAGTCAGCCAGCCCGTGCCATTTCCAACACGTCATAAGCCAGTGTCTGTTCATGTGCTACAGGCACAAAAACCATGTGTTCATTTGTAGTTCCAATACACAGACATCTGTGCAGCAAGGTCAGATCCAAAACTCCATCATAAACCAACTTAAAGAACCTATGGAGGGAACTTCCGGGGAAGAGTCAAGAGCCACAACCCAATGTCTAAAGCGTTGGAATGATTTTAGCAGGGAAAATGTTAAGGAGAGAAAGACACAGGCTCAAATGGACAGAGATTTCTGAAGTTAGGTTGCTCATTCCAAATGATAGATGCCAAACAGAACCATTTTGTGGGGCAAGAGTTGAAAAGATCAATGGAGTATGGACCCGAAACCCAAACACAAAGTCAGAACTTCCTCATCACACACCGTAAAATCATCTTGCTCTCAGCATGTCATGCTATTCCTCAAAAAGACCCCCTCAGACCTGGAGACCCAAGGAAACAGAAAAGGCTTTCTCATGTCTGCCAGGTCTGTCCATGACAGAAGGGCCCCAAACTAATGCCAAGACAGCCTGCCTCTCTTTCCAGAATTATATATCTTTTTTCCAAACAAATAGATAGGAAACCACTACAGAACTGTTCTCCATTTCCCCACCTCTCAATTAGAAGACTGCCAATAATAATCTCAACTGTTAACTCGGAAAAAACAAACTTTGAAAAATGAACAAGGTACCCGTTTCCAACCATGTGTGTATTATGTGATGATTTTAAAAGGTTAGATCAAATGCTATTTCTCACTAAATACAAAGGAAGACAATCAGCTCAACATATGTGAAACAGACAAGGGAACTTCACTGGTTTTCCTGAAATAGCAATTCTATATCACACCGAGGCCCACAGGCATCAAGCCCAGCTCTTTGAATTCTAACATATGTGTGCTACAAGGCCTAGCCCAGTTCTCCAGAACAGAAACCTGATTAGTTGGTGGGCCCACTTCCTCCTTCACTTGAAAAGGGTTCTCTAAGCTAATTCACACAAGGCTTAAGACTCAGTATATCCAGGCAGGTCCACTTAGCAGACTCTAAAGCATTTGAAAGGAATTAAAGATTTGCTTAACGTTAAAATATGGAAACTATTAAGCCTCATAAAATGACCACAGGAAGTACTTTCTACTGATAGCTGTGGGAAAGGTAGATGTGGAGAAGGGCAAAGAGAACCATACCCAGAGGTTACTTATTGAAAAGCCCCAAATTATACAGCAAAGACTGCAGAGACTTGTAATTAACTCCAACCAACAATAAGGAGGGAGGTCATATACCTTCTGGCAAAAGACTGACATTTCTCACAGCCTCTAGGTCCCTACCAATCAAAACAAGAAAACAAGCTAAAATTCCAAACTCATCCTTCCTCCCGACAGGGCGGACTTAGGTGCAGATCATAGAAATCACAACTACCCTGGCCAGACTTACCGAGTTTCTCACAGCTGCGAGGCTGCCAACAAGACTGGCACATAGTAAGCTGTGGAAAAGCTAACAAGCAAATCTAGCAGCACCAAATCCTAAGCATTTAAAAAAAAATTACCAGTTCAATCTTATTACTTCTCCTCCAAAAGCACAAAATATTCCATCTCAATTTCTCTCATCTTCACTCTATTCCTACAAGGACAGGAACAAGACAAGAATCGCTCCCATTTTACAGATGAAAAAAAAAAAAAGAGGAAGAATGAAGACAAAATTGGCCTACATTCCACAGCTGATGTTGGAGTTGTTAGCGGAATCTAGATGTTCACGTTCTCTGTGCAACACGCTGCCTCCTTATAGCAGTCAACCAAACGTTCATACACAAATACCTAGCTCTTCTCCAATTCATCAGAAAAAGGCCTTGGACCAAAAAATGTAATTCTCCAGTGCCCTGAACTAAGCTTCTTTGCAGAGCTACAGCCCAATTTGCTCTGCAGCAGAAATCTGTATTGTGCTTAGTGTGAGGGTTGGTAACAGAGCAGCCAATGACCATTAAATTCTGCTTCCAAAGGCAAAAAACCGTATAATGTTATATGCCTTTTCCTCTTCCTAATCTATTAGACGTAGCAGCTAATTTCACGCCACACCTCATATTTGGCGTCTCTGGAATCTTAGACCAAGTCCTGGTCAATATGGAACAAAGGCAAGACAAACCACAAGAAAATTAGCAGTCTATCCTATGTCATTACCCACAGCTTCAATCCTGCCCTCCCCCCATCTGATGAAAATTCCATCTATATTGGTAAGTGGAACATCGAATGCAGAGCCTACTACAAAAAAGCTGTTTTCGGCAGCCACACTTTTTTTTTTTTTTTTTTTTTTTTTTTAAAGACCTGAGCTCCCAGCATAAGTTCACTGGGAAGCAAAGACAGAAACAAACATCTGCCGGGGGGGGGGGGGGGGGGCAACACATATCAACCTACCAATCTCTTTAGGGAATTTGATTTAGGTCTGATCCGCAAGATGATCCTCTGGCACAACTATTCAGAAAGGGCAGCAAAGTCAAAACTGACCCCACTCTTCTTGGGAGCATGCAAACTCCACTGACAGGAGAAGTCCATGGGTGAGAGGTTCCCAGTCCAGGTCACACTTCAGGGTCATGGGGGAAGCTTTGTAGAAATTCAAACTCTTGGGCCCTCAGGCATACTGATCTTTTCCCAAAGCTCCCCATGTGATTCTGGTAAACAGTAAAGTTCTCAAATGTATTGGTCTACCCCATTCTTCAGCCTTAGGTTGTGGCTGCCAGTGTGTCTCAAGAATCCATCATATGAGCTGCACTGAAACCAATTCCAATCTTTGTTCAGAACCCACTCAGCAGTGCAAACCACAATGGCAGGTACCACAAAGGAAGTCTCACTCCTTGACACAAAAGTTGACAGCTCTCTAAACTAATATCCAGACCTAACACGGGATGCCAGAGTGCTGTCCACCCTTGAAAAATGCAGAGGAAAAAAAAAAATCAGTGTCTAGGTTTGGAATTTCCATCAATAGGCCTAGAACTCATACACCCATGCCTATATCTCACACTTAGAATACTCATATGAGTTTGAAAGCAAACTGTTTTGTATTCTCACAGGCCACAGGCTTGAGATACCAAGTCTATCTAAGAAACCAACCAGGAAAACATTAAAATGTTGAACCAAGATACCCAAACCATTGCTGGCCTACAGCTGCACCAGTGTGTCACATTATTTGTCTGCATGAGTGTGGAAGGGGTGGGGTGCTGGTACACAGAAAGAATAACAAGCAAAATGGTTACAACACCAACTTTTTTACCCCAAAGACCAAACGTTTCCAGCAACCTCCCTACCAGGTGTAATGGTAGACATGTATCTTGGAAAAGTTTAAAAGCCAGGCCGGGGTGGGGGTGGGAGGATGGTTTCAAATCATCTCCCAATTGGAGAGATGCTAACCAGCTGAGAAATGTCACCAGAGTGAACTCTGAAGAGTGGGAGCTGTTCCCACCATCAGCTCTGACCTAATGGGCGATGTCACCACCTTTAGCCCTAAGTCTCTATACCTCCTTATGAAAAGCGCGTATCCTAAGAATTATCAGGACCGTGTTCGCAGCAGGAGAAAAGGGAAATGAAACAAGAAGAGGAAGTTTTGTCACTCAGCCCCTGCCAGCCGGTCTCACCTGCCCGCGTCCAGCTCCCGGCCCGCAGAGCCTCCCATGTCCGTCAGGCTCGCAGCTGAAGCAGCCAGCTCTCCAGAAGGCCTCTTGCCGGCCCCATCCCCACTGCTGGAGCCGCCGTTGCAGCTCTTAGTGCGAAAGAGGCGACTGAGGCGGATTTTGAGGGAGCCCTTCCGAGAAGGGCCCGCCAGTGGCCGGAGGGGCCCGGGAGGAGGCGGGGGCGGGGGCGGTTGCTGCTGCTCCCCTCTACCCAAGCGCCCTGGGGGAACCAAGTCCTGCATCGGGAAGGGCACCGGGGCTAATTCAGGACCCGGGGGCTGCAGCAGAAGCCGGCCGCCCCCTCCTCCTCCGCGGCCCGGGCTGCTGAGCTCCTCCTCGGAGCAGCTGTTAGTCTCCAGGCTTTCGGCCTCCGACTCCAAGCCCTCCAGGACCAGCAGCGCGTCGCTCGTTTCCGTGGGGTCCTCCCCGGCCTGCGGGGCGGCAGCCGGCGGCTGGGGCTGCGGAGGGGGCGGCTGCGGGGGGCACGGGCACGGGCACGGGCAGCAACCCGCGCCGACCGTCTTGACCCCCGGCCCCGCCGGCTGCCCGAGCCCCAGCGCCGCCAACTGCGCCTCCAGTCCAGCCGCCGGGCCCCAGGTCCGCTCGAGCGCCAAGCCCGGCGGCAGGGCCTTGGGGTCCAGGGCACAGCGGTGCCGGGGACACAGCAGTTCCGAGGGTCCCGGCTCCGGGGCCGCCTCCGCGTCCTCCTCCTCCGGCGGCCGACCCACGTTGCGGAACACCATCAGCTGCGGCGGCCGGGAGCCCCGCGGGCCCGGCCGCGCGAGGAAGGGGGGCGGAGGGGGGCCATGGCCCGGGGGCGGCGGCGGCGGGCCTGGCTCGGGGGCCGCCTCTCCATAGCCGAGCAGGCGGCTCAGGACGCGGTACGAAGCGGCCGCCGCCGCCGCCTCGCCATCCCGGAGCTCGGCCCCCTGCATCGGGGAGAGGAAGGGAGGGCGGGCGGCTGGGAGCCGGGCTGGGGTGGGGACTAGGCCGGGCCCCGCCGGAGCCCCGCCCGCCGCGGCCCCCGGAGCGACAGCGCTAACGGCCGCCGCGGCCTCTGCCTCATAGAGGGGGGCGGGGGGCGCGCGGAGCCCAGCGCTAGCCCAGGCCGCGCGCGCCGCCGCCGCCGCCGCCGCCGCCGCCGCCGCCGCCGCCGCCGCCGCCGACCGCCCCCGGATGGCGTCACTTCCGGGAGGCTGTGACCACGCCCCCTCCCCCAGGGTGTGCTCGGGCCGGCCTCCGCGAAGCGTGACGCTGAGTGCAGCCTGGGCCGCTATTGGCCGTGGGCTGCTTCTCGCCTGGCCGTTGGTCCCCTGCCCCGACCCGTGCTTTTCACTTCCCGGGCGCTGAGGCCGAAGCCCCCCTGCCTGGTGAGGGGGAGCGGCCCTGGAAAGCCTGGCTTGGTCCCGGCCGAGAGCCGCTGGCCCCGGGAGCACCTGTGTATGTGGTCCCGCCCAGTGCCCCTTGCGATGTGTGACCGTGGCCGAGTCATTTCTTCTTTGACTAGCTGTATCCCCGCTGGCATCCAGGGAATATTTGCGGAGTGACACATGAATAATGCGTTTTCTAGAGCCAGTGGTGTGCTGATAAATGTTGAACAGACGGCTCCCTGGGGGACAGAGGGCAGAGAGTGTGTGTGTGTGTGTGTGTGTGTGTGTGTGTGTGTGTGATAAAAATTTATCCTAAAAATTTATCAGGTAAAGGATGTATGGCACACAATTTACAAATGTTAATAATAGTATACAGTTGCAAATCCCATATAACCAATTGGTTCTCAAGAATCCTTTCATTGGTTTTGGCTGAACTCTTGTATGGGTAGCCAACCTATGGTTTCAATTGACCAAGGAACTTCAGCATGAATGTTGGTTGATATTTTCCACAATGCCAGTGTTAAGAGGAAAGTCTTAACCTTAAGAAGGTCTTAACTGTCAATTATGGAAGTGACTTGCTTGCTGAATCAGAAAATGGCTTTCAAATACTGAAAGAATATTTTCTTAATTGGGGGGGGTGCCTCGTGGCTTAGTCGGTTAAGCGTCTGCCTTCAAGTCATGATGCCAGGGTCCTGGGAGTCTGCTTCTCCCTCTCCCTCTGCACTTCTCCTCCCCTCCCCCCATGTGCTTTCTCTCTCTCTCAAATAAATGAATAAAATCTTTAAAAAATGTACATAAAAAAATCTTTAAAAAATATATTTCCGGGATCCCTGGGCGGCGCAGCGGTTTGGCGCCTGCCTTTGACCCAGGGCGCAATCCTGGAGACCCGGGATCGAATCCCACATCCGGCTCCCGGTGCCTGGAGCCTGCTTCTCCCTCTTCCTATGTCTCTGCCTCTCTCTCTCTCTGTGACTATCATAAATAAATAAAAATTAAATATATATATTTCCTTATTTTTATGCTATTCACCATGTAATGGCTACAGGCATTACACATTAAATTTATTTTTTTTATTTTTTTTAATTTATTTATTTATGATAGTCACACAGAGAGAGAGAGAGAGAGGCAGAGACACAGGCAGAGGGAGAAGCAGGCTCCATGCACCGGGAGCCCGATATGGGATTCGATCCCGGGTCTCCAGGATCGTGCCCTGAGCCAAAGGCAGGCGCCAAACCACTGCGCCACCCAGGGATCCCTACACATTAAATTTAAATCTGAATTACTAACTTTTCCTCCATCACTTTCTTAAATCTAGATAACTGACAAAACAATAAATCAAGGCCCTGATTTGGAGCATTTGCTGATATCCATGGTTTAAATACTCCCACCATGGCTTCAGAACACAGAGTTACTGAACACAGAGATGAACAGTAGCATAGTAGCCTATCCTTATGTAATAGTTTCATCGTGCAGATAAAATAACAATCCCAGGAGCATGGGTCAATAGTAATAGTAAACTTAGCAGAAAGTGATGAGTTTTTGCGCAGCCCGGGTGGCTCGGGGGTTTAGCCTGGAGACCTGGGATTGAGTCCCACGTGGGGCTCCCTGCATGGAGCCTGCTTCTCCCTCTGCCTGTGTCGCTGCCTCTTGCATGCTCTCTCTCTGTCTCTCATGAATGAATAAATAAAAATCTTTCAAAAAATTGATGTTTTTGAAAAACTTACTACCTTGGGCAGCCTGGGTGGCTCAGCGGTTTAGCGCCGCCTTTGACCAAGGGCCTGATCCTGGAGACCTGGGATTGGGGCAGGGTCCCACAACCAGCTCCCTGCATAGAGTCTGCCTCTCTGTGTGTGTCTCTCATGAATAAATAAATAAAATCTTTAAAAAAAAAAGAAAGAAAATTTACTACCTTTGTTTTAAACATCGTCTAATTGTAAGTGTGCATAATTTGATTTTTAATAGTGGCTGTGTTTCACAACTGGCTTGCAAAACCCCTGAAGTTTTAACAGTTGGCTTTCACAGTCCTATATGAGCCAGCTCCACAGCACCTTCATATCTCAGTTTTCTCATTTACAAAATAGGAATAAGTGTGGATGCTTCACTGAACTTCACTGATATGCAGCTTCATGCTTCACTGATATGCAGACATGCAATATCAAATAAGATAAAGCTTGCTGTGTAGAGGATACTGGACTGGAAGAGAGAGGACTGGGCTGAAGACAGCAAGGAGGAAGGTCAATTAGAAAACTATTGCAGTTGTCCCCTGGGAGATGTTGAGGGATGCGAGACATAAGGAGGGATGATCAGCCAGCAGAATTTGGTAACTTTGTACCTGAGGGTGCATTGGAGCTAAGAGAGTATAAGTCCTGGAGTCAGAGAGGAAATGGAGATTTGTTAGGGTGCCTGGCTGGTTCAGTGGGAAGAGCATGTGACTCTTGATCCCAGGGCCCCACGTTGAGTGTACAGATTACTTAAAAATAAAATTAAAAATAAAAATAAAATGGAAATTTGTCTGTAACCTGTGATTATAACTCTTCATGGTTTCCCATTTGCCTTAGGCTGAAGATAAAACTCCTAAAGGAGGCCTTGGGGTCCTGTGTGATCTAACTCTTGCTTCTGTCCGGCCTCTTCTCCCACCAACCTTCACTTTGTTCTCTCTCTCTCCGGCAGTTCTGCTAGCCCTGTGTGAAGGTCACACACATATGGCCATTACATAACCTATTCCCTTTTCTTGAAAGGTTTTTTTCCTTCTCTTTTTGCTTAGTAAACTCCTACTTATCCTGAGGTTGAACTCATTCCTCACTCCCTCAGGGAAACCTCTCTACCTGGATACTTACTGATATGGGAAAAGACATTAGAGTTCGAAGCTGATGGCCAAGAAAGAATTCTTGAGACGTCTTTGGTGCAGAAAGGTGACTTTATGAAAGCACAGGGGCAGGACCTGTGGGCAGAAAGAAATGCACTGGGGTCATGAGGAGTGGCCCATTATATACTTTCAAGTTGGGAGGGGGTTAGGTATAGTGTGAGTCTCTAAGGAATTTGGAAGCGAGGTTTCCAGGACCTTGAGGGGGCTGGCTACTGTTGGGAAAGGGTCACTTATTACCATTTAATAAAACCTTAGTCATGAGACCCTTCAGGTGTATATGACCCTTCAGATGGGTCATATGCTTGGGGGATGATTGCCAACACATATCTTGGGGGGGTTAGAGATAAAGAAAGTTTCTAAAGGAATTTTTATATGTTAAAAAAGACTTACAGGATCCTGGGCATTGGGCTAAGATTGCCTTTTGCCCTTAGCAAAGTATTAATATTGAGGCAGCTGAGTTCCTAGAAGAATGTCAATCTGCCTGTTTCAAGGACTTGTAAATGGGCTGTGAGTAGTAAGAAAATTTAATGATTTCTCTTCTGTCTTTGTTTCCCACATCATTTATTTCCTGCCCTTCCAGCTCCAAGACCACGCCTTTGTTGCACTTATTACACCGGTGTATTTTTCCATCTATCCATGGGGTTATTGGAGTAAAATCAGTCTTCCCTACTAAGCTGTAAACTCCACAAGGTCAAGGAACAAGTTCCAACAACCGGATGGTTGTTCTACCTCATGCTTTGCAAGGGGTGCCTGATACAAATTCATCTCTAATTTTGCACAACACGATATCTTTCCTTGCCCATGAAGAAACCGAAGCCAAGAGTTATTTACCTAAGGTCACACAGTTTGAAAAAGTATGGTGGAACTCAAAACCACTCACCTTCCCTCAGCTACCTTGCAGGTGTCACTCAGATTTCTGGAGAAAAGAACAGAAATTGCTATAGGATCACAGAACCCCTGAGACTTAAGACCACCCTGAGATCTCTGGTTGTCTCTGCAAAACCCCAGAACGGATTAGCCCATGAATGCAAGATCTGTGGCTCTGCAGTGCCCTCTGCTGCCCAATTACTTACTAGGCCGGGGAGGGAAACTATGTTCCCACCTGGTGTATCCCCATTTGGGGTATCTCCACTCCACCAGAGCACACAGAGGCACAGGGGAACACACACGAGCTCTTTCTAAGGGAGGGCAAGGAATACTACCTTTCTCCATTTCCTTAAATGTCCAGGCCTATAACCTAGGTCCTAGGTAAAAGTATTGAAAATTAAGCTTCAAGCAAAGGAAGTATTATTTTTGTATGTGTTGGGTTTGTGTGTATTTGTTGAACAGGTTTTGTGTCTACACATATCTCTTTCACTGAGGCCTATCTGGGTAGTCCCTGAAGCATCAGGACCCTAGGTTCAAAGGTTTGGGAAGACAAACTCAAGAGAACTGAAACCAGTCCTGAGGTTCACTTAGTCATTCACCAATGGGCTAGACCTTGGGAGTGCAGTGATGGGGGAGACAGCCACTGTCCCTGCTCCTCTGGAGCTTGCCAGTAACTCTGAGTCCTAAGCACACCATTTCCTGGATGTATGACCAAGAGCAAACAATCTAGTATCTTTGAACCTGTGTTTCATTGATAAAAACAGTTCAGTAATAATCCTCCCTGAGGGGGTTTTGTGAGGCGTTAAATGAAAACTTACACAGAAATGCTAAAACACTGGGTGCCTGGGTGGCTCAGCGGTTGAGTGGCTGCCTTCAGCTCAGGTTGTGATCCCAGGGTCCTGGGATCAAGTCCCGCATCAGGCTCCCTGTGGGGAGCCTGCTTATTCCTCTGCTTATGTCTCCACCTCTCTCTGTGAGTCTCTCATGAATAAATAAATAAATCTTAAAAATAAA